TTTCAAATGAACGAGAGGAATTTATGCAAAGCGACATACTTCTAGACAATTAATTACCAGCAACTTCATTTCTGTGGTTCTTCATTTCTATGAAAAACGCATATAATACATATTTTGTGTATCTAACAAAAACTTACATTTTCTACAATCGATTGTGAAGGTATAATCGTACTGCATATCTTATGAGAGAATACTCTGTTTTGTTATCTGAACTGTATTCAAACTGTTCAATTATTATGAATTTTTGTCCATGATGATTAGAAACCTGTTGGATCATGTGGAGATAAATAGGACTCTATCAAAACCATTCATACTAACATCTAACACTTCTTATATTCACAGTAGTGGCTTTTTACATCCAGACATATGTAAAATCATATGAAGTTTCATGTAAATGATTGACACTGATAATCCTCACGAAGTTGATTCAATAGCAAATTTTTTTAAGTTGTCACAATAGCAAATTATTAATTAATAAAATCGACTGTAAAGCCACGTTACTCTAATCGCTGCGTACTAAAAAATGGGGACGAGTGCCCTTCGTGAAAAAAAAAGATAAAGATGAGGCACGAGACAGACGGTAGAAGCGTAAAGGACGAAGAAGACGGAGGGAAATGATGAAAGAGGGAGAGAAGGAAACTAGCGAAACACGACAATGGAAGAGGGTTCCTAGGATAGAGGCTCGATTGTAGTGGAGAGTGAATGAAGCGAGACAGAAAAGCGAAACGGGAACAATGGCCGCGGTATTATTTTCTGTTTGCTGCGTCAGACCAACCACCCACCCTCCGGTTACTCCCTCGCTCCCTTTATTCACCCTCTCTTTCTCTGTCGTTATCTTCGCCACGTTTCTCTGTTCCTTTTTCCGCCAGCCTCGCTGTCTGCTACAGCTTCCTCCTGTCGCTACAACGGCATAACATCATATTTTTGGACCGGGATCCAAGATTACGGGGACTCGATATTTGCTAGATAAACGAATAAGCCCGTCTCGTCGACGTTGTTTCGTTTGACCGAACGAATAAATCATTGGCTGCTTAATTCTCTTCGTGCCAGGACTCTTTCGTTATACCTCGTGTCGTGTTTGATTAAACGCCGTATTTGTCCCGTTTGGGGAATTTTTTATTTGCGCTTGTTGGTCGAGTTTGAGATACTAGGAAATCACATTCGCAAGTTAATCCTTTTTGCACAAATCCTAACTTTCATTTCCAGGTTTTCTTAAATCTCACCATTCCTCAATTCCAAATTCTCATATTTTCGAATCCTTAAAATTGACTCCATAAGGTGACAACGTAGTGCGTGGCGAATTCGACGCGGGAAATACGGCGCGTGACGATATAACGCGGGAAATACGGCGCGTGCCGATATAACGCGGAACAATAAGCAACCACGACAACGAAATACCACAGTCTTTTTTTCTCAGTGCCCAAAATTAACCAAAAGAAATAACCAAAAGAAGGGTTATTTCTTTCTCCTATTAGAAAGAAGTTCCGTAGTAAATGTAATATGGCAGCGTTTCGATCGAGCATTATTTTCCGACGGGACGCTTTGTACGGGTTCGAGGTAAGCAGTGACCGATAAAAGTAGCTCGCCAGTTCAGAAGTTCGATTCAATTTCACGAAGTTGCCGGTCGTTGCGCGGCACGAAGCGTTGTCATCAAACTCGCATCCACTTTACACCAGCTGAGAGGACAAGTGTGCTGTGTGCAACGATCGCGAAAATCCACTTTCCAGCTTTGAGCTCCACTTCTAGTCGATGCATTATTCCGTCGAACAAGACGGATGAGGAATAATATTCCAATTTCGCTGGTCTAATGCAGGCACCGTCGATCCTCGACATAATGGCCCGCCACGATCTTGCTACGTGAATTATGCGACACGCTGTCCAGACCCGTGCACCCCGCGGAAACACCATCGAAATTTCTCAGGACGTGCTCTGATCCTGTTACCTTGTGTCTGTGTACATAGTTTCAACTTTGCTCTCGGAGACACAGGGCTAAACGTGAACGGCATCGAATATTACGGGCTACATGAAAGCTTAATGATAATTGCGAGATTTCGATCCACCGTCGTTTCGCAATTGCGATGGTAAATCTTCTTAAGATTCTTGGCAAATTTTCGACTATTTGAATACGGTTTTCTATCGAAAAGAAGAGCATGACTAGTAACAATTGTATGAGATGACATATGTGACGTATAAGTTCCTGCGAAACTTTGCTCAGATTAATGTAGAGAGTTGTTAGGATTTAATGAAATTTGTGTTACAACCAGTATAGTATTATAAATGAGAGTACGTATAATGTACGTATAAGTAAAATTTTCCACAGAACATTTCTGGTAGAAAAGTTAGATTCCGAAAATCGTAGAAGTATCAGTTATCGATATTCTACCGTTTTATCGAACCTGATATCCTCAGAATAGTTCAGCCATCGCAAAAGAACACTCCCGCCGTTAATTTGCCGGAAGAATCAACCGAGTATTCAATTCTGCGTTGCAAACAGGATACAACAAAAAACTACACAAAAGCACTCAACCAACACGATCGATCAATTGTTCAAGCGTTCGTTCCGTACCGCGATAATCTCCTCATCAAAGTCTTCGATAACACCGATTTGTGTCACACGAGGCGATAAAATACTTCGGCCTGCAAAATCATCCTTCCTCCATCGTCGGAGAAATTACCGTAATCGCCGGTCGTTACATCGATGGCGCTCCGATAAGGTTAAATTATCTTCGGATTAAAAGTGTTGCGTACAATGGTGTCCGATAATTTCTACGGGTATCTGACGATGCTACATTTATCTTCGAATACGAATGGGCTCACGAGACGATTTGTTAAACTTGTCTCATTATTTTATCCATTCTGATACTATCACGTTTTATTACCATTTAATTAGGAATCTTAGCTTCTCGAGATTCGAGTACGGATTACGAGAATGTAGGGACTTGAAGATGCAGAAACTTGGAGATGGACTTAGAGATATAAGCATTTGGATACGTAGAGATTTGAAGACGTAGAATATGTAGAAATTTGATTCCACAAGAATTACCATAATATGAATTTCAAGATATAGAAATTGATGAATATAGAGATTTGTATAAGAATTTGGGTTCATAGAAATTTGTGAACACAGAGAAACTACATAACCTAGCAATTAAATTTGGAAATATACTTGTTGCTCGAAGTAAGAGATTTATAAACTCGCTTCACATTTTCATCGAAGAGCAGGGTGAGAAAGCAATGACTGCAGAGGCTCTCGAGAAGAAATCGTGGAAATTAAAAGTAACGCGTCGAGGACAGACAGTAATGAAGCGGAAGTGGCTGGCAAGAATCACGTACCGTCTGGCGAGAAAGCTTCCTGTTAATATAGAGCAGTCTTAAATTCTCGTCGGGAGACGAAACGGTAACGTAACAACTCGGTCGGGGTCTAAATCTTGATAAACAACTGTGAAGATTGTTAACGTTCTGCCATTATTTAACGGAGACGCCGACGTTCTCGCGAGTTCCATCACGGAAAGAACCGGCGAGAAAGGAGAAGAATCGGAAGAGAAGAAAGCGTTTGGATGCCAGCCAGACTATGGTTCCAGGACTGAATAGAGAGACGATCGCCAAAGGCGGATCGTTTAGGACAACGTTGAAAGCATCGGGAACGTTTTGTCATCGGGATGATTGAGATGCATGCGACGATGAATGTCACGGTTTAAAGCTTGCTACTATAGCAAAAATTGGCTCGATCCAGATAAACGATACTTTTGACTTATATCAATTTTACGTAGGTCAACTTCACTATTTAAAAACGACTAAAGTTTATAAGAACATTTATTGTTTCACTTCCTTTGTACCACTAAATTGACTATTTCAAAGTTAAACACAATGAGTATGTTCAGATAGTATATAATTCTTAATCTGATAGGTTTGATCATAAATGCCGACACGATTAGGTGACACAAAGTTCTAAATATTCAGTACATATCAATTCTACCCAAATGGCTGAACATTCCGTTAATATTTAAAAAATAAACTAGCTAACTGATACATCAATTTAAATATTACCCATCAAAGTTTGATGCAAATGGCTGCAGAATTTTCGTCGATATTTTTAGTACATGATTCTTTCAAATATTTACAATCTCAAGCGTCACCAGCCATCATTAATTAACTGTCTACAGTGTTTCCGTAACCCAATTTCAAATTCCCGTAAGGTATATCAAATTTGGATCCAGCAATGCATATTATATTCACGTCATACCGTGACATTTGAAGAGATTCAACGTACCAATTTAATGGCGACATGTGCCAAAAGGTAGCAAGAAAAAATGACAAATATCACAGTTTCAGTCGACGGACGTATTTATCCGTGGATGTAACTCCGCCACTCACTTCTGCCAACGCGTGGCTACTTTCGCGATGTCGTCATGCCAGCGTATTGCCCATTAACGAGAAATACGGCGCCTTCGTTACACCGCAATGTTCGCTTTCGAAATAAACCCATTCGCGATACTTCATTGTAACTGTGCTTTTTTATGGGGCTACGTGTGTCAAACGAGTTGGCTACCCCACAGGGCAACTTGATAAATCTGATCGCAATTGGTACCACGAAATCGATGTAATCAAACGGTTAAGCGGAGAATACAAATTTTTAAACACCACTTGTCATTGATGTGATCATTCATCTTATGTGACTCATTGTCAGATTATCATGTACATACGATCTACATATAATTATCATTTCAACTGTTTTATTACTTTATCTATTATAAATTGTGAAAGTTAAAAGACAAAATATACCTTAATATAAAATATGTTGCTGTTCAATACTTCAAAACTATTCTCAAATGAAAATAATATTCCCAAGTGATTAAAAAGTATATGATTTACTGGTAAATTTACTAGTATGATTTTGAAGTGGAACATGAAGAGTGTACCCAGTGCGAAAGCGAATATTGGACGCCATTTGTCCGGTCAAAGGTTAATGGCGTTATAACAAGATGGTGTCAAGTACTCACCGAGGAAGACGTTCTCGTCGATGTCGTCGCCGTGCAGATCGATGTCAAGGTCGACCGCACCGTTGGTAGGAGCCTGATGGCTCCTCTTTGCGAGGTCCATCAGCTCGCTTCGTAGGTCCAGGTGGCCCCTGGCCAGCAGCTCGGCCAACAGGGTCAAATACGAGGAATTCAGCGAGGTAGGACTGGTGGCACGTATACAGCCGGGTAACCAGAATCCTAAGAGACTGTAGGAAACCACCGGTACCGCTCCGGTACTGACGAAGCCACCGTTCAGGAGTTCGCCGCACAACATAGGTGCAGCGATGACCTCAGCTCCTCCCTCGTGACCTTGGCAACGCCTCGATCTGCAATATCTGCGTCAACAAACACCCGTCAATCAGAATCGATCGACATTGTGCAAATGTCTCTTATTTTTATAAGGGTTGTAAGGGGCAACTTTGGTAGATTAGAAAGTGTTTAAAAAATATATGGATACTTTTACAAATGTACTACAAATTTATAGTTAACTGATATTAGTAGACATTAACATTGTTACATTATAAATTCATACATTATAAATTATATTTAGCACTAATAAATTTGAATATTGGAGCTGCCTCTTTTTTGCTCCAAAGAACATTGTATTCGACAAAGTGCAATATGACCGATGAACACGTGATCAGTTTAGAAATGATACACAATAAGAATGAATAATAGAGCAAAGGTTTCGATGGAATCATAAATTTGCTTTCCGTATCATATGCATACAGACTCCAGTTTAGATCATCTAGCACAAGGTTATCTGATCTCAACCCATGATAAAACCGCACATTTTCCTCGAGTCTACAAAGATTTTTCGCAGTATGTATTACGATCGACACTCGTGGTATATCATTCAGTACTAAAAGGGTCAACAAAGTCAGCATGCAAATTCGTCAAACAGAGCGGCTTTGAGCAGATTTTCACGGGACCCTTAAATCAACGGGGAACAAAGGGGCGGAGGAGAGCGTTCGGGGAAGAGAAACAGGCGTAACGTGTGCTCCGTGAAACGGCGATTTTACGTAGGTAACTTAAGGTCGTTACTCTTGCCACGAAACCGAATAATGCGCTGGCAACGAGAAGCGTTATGCGCCGTTGAGAGCAAAACTTAGAGGCCATCTGCATGACAAAAGAGTTGGACACCGAGGAGTCCGGAACAATGCAGCGATCCACAGACACACACGCGTTTCCGCACAATTATCGCGCGGATTAATGCGACACGGGTCGGAATAACGCGGACACTGGCTCGTAAAATTCCGTCTGACCGATGCGACGAAACGCACGTGGTCGGGTCGTAAAGTCGCGGCAGAAATCAGCGATATTGAACCCACCATTTCGGTACCGGGCACATTCGCGCGGAATTTACGGACACGGATGAAAGAGCGGAGACGTTCGATCGGGAGAACCGGTAACGCGACAGTGGAGCCCGGGTAAATGGAGTGTGACGAAGAGAGAAGCAGATCCAATGGTAACTGGCACATTCTTCTGGAGCCGACCAGTGGGTGCCATGCTGTCGCACTGACGTCACCGGTCACTCGCGTGGGTGGGTACACGCTTGATGATCTCACGTTCGCTGCACAGAGAGTTCCTTCGACCGTTCGTTTAATCGATTCGATTGTGCCTTATCTCCGGCGTAAATCGCTTTTCGAACGGGGGGAGGGAAATAGAATGGAAGACTTCGGATTGAAACGCATAGAAAGTTTCGCTTTGGAAGGAATGTGGGAGGATTCGTGATAACGTGAAACGCGATCGACTTAATCGTGTGTGATTGCAAAAAACCCATACGCTATTTCTCTGGATATATACACGCGTTGGTGATATAAAGTACGAGGTAAACTGACATTGTGTACCGCAAGATGAAGAATAATACTAAATTCGGACAGTGTATTTTATGGGCAACATTTCTGCATTTGCAGCTGATACGTGCCACCGCGAATGTGATCAGATGCGTGGATGCATGTCTCGAGAGGGACATTTACAACATTTATTGTAGCAGGTGCATTTATGGCGGTACGTGTAATGCCTTTCCAGATGTACAGTGAATTTTGACTTGTTCTGCGTTGTACGAATGTACGATAATATGTATTTTGCGGGTCCTAAACTATTTGTTATATTTTGTACTTCATTTTTCTATAATTATGTCCAATATTTTTTGAGACACGCTTATGATATACGTCTTACTTCGCGGAGACCTCGGATGAGTATGTCTGTATATCAATCATGTGTTGTTGGATTTAATATTGATCGGTTTATTGTTATGCTTTTAATAGGTGCTTCTGTTTACGTTTAATGAATAAGTACATTCAAATTTAGCATTCCTATATTTCACTGTTTTCGATGAACACAAAATTATCAAAAGCCTTGCCAGTAGATGAGAACCATGAAACTAATACAAATTTAATATACGTTAATCATGCAGGTCCTCATAAAGTTAAATATTTTTCTCTGAAAAGTTCGTGTTTAATTATATAAAAGATTATTTGAGTTCAAAAGAAGAAGTCTAATGAATAGAATTGGTAAATTACGATCGTAATAGCTGGCAGACGTTTCCTCAGCAAAGTGAACTGTGACGGATCGCAAGAAACACCCGGGGAAATGATCTCCCGTTAATTCGATCGTCTACTCACGAATCATCCACGAGATACATACATATTTCATGGGAATTCAGATTACACCGCGAGAAATCGCTGCAGAGCTCGAGTTCCAGAAACTCCTGATCGGAATTTCGAGCGTGGCGTAGCACACCAAGAGATTGATTACCAATCGTCGCATCTTTTACAGACCGAGTCGTTACATGTCGCCTTTACATTTCGGGCTGCAAGTCACGATCCTTTTCAAGTTCAGATTTTATCGCAACAAGTTCTCTTTCTGGATATTTCAATCTTTTCCTGTAGCTCTGTTAAAAAATTATGCGATGAATGTAACTCAAAGACTGTACATTATTGAGAATTTGAAGATTTGAATGGGTTTCGAAATTTGAGTATTCAAAGATCTTTTTTGGAAGAATTTGAAGAGACGCGAATTAAAAAATACAAAAGTCAACTTTGTAAATTGTGAGAATGATCAAAGGAAGTTTGTAGCTCACCTGGATTAAAAAGGGGTAGAACGTGTCGCGCAAATCTGATGAAGAAACTTAAGAAAGAGGGAAAAATGTTTTCACCCCGGATTATCTTTACCGTGAAACCAAATCTACCCTCAGGAGCGACAATCCAAGGATTCCATCTCCTTTCTTGCTGAAGAAATTACAGCAGCCACGGCAGACATGTAATACAATTTGCAGTGTACATGGTTGGAATACCCGGTCGTCGTAACAGCCGGAATATGCAAACGCAGTTTCACGGTCATCTTTTCGTTAACGTTAGAGCGGCTTGCGAAACGATTATTCGGTTCGAATACGGGGAAATGTTCGTTGTACGCAACGGAACGACGGCAAAAGATAGGCAAGTCGGTGCTTAGCAAAGTGATTTAATTTGCCGGAAACACGTGCACGATCGTACGCCGTAGCAAGATGGCGAATCCAACAGCGAGAAGAACGAGCTTTTTACCTCGGCGCTATTTTCGCGAAAAAGCATACTGTGCATAGCGCGGTAGCACGCGAACGGAATATTCGACGACAGAACGAAATCTTGGAATTGCGACGTGACCAGGGCCACGAATTTATTTCGAAAATCGCTATCGAACGCCTCGATATCGACGCACCGAGAATTTGTTTAACGATATTGAGCATTAATGAACCGTGAGATTTACTGTGTTCCAAATTGAAAATGATTCGGTAACGAGAAATCCGATATATTGAATTTAATACGAATTACGTGATATGAAAAACGTAGTGGCGTTGCAATATATTTAGAGGGAACAGTTACTCGATAGTATACAGCAAATTTTTTTATTTGATAATTTAAGCTCGGTAAAATAAATGTTCAAGATCTCTAAATCTTGCCTCCACACGATTAATAAACTATGGAATTTACTGTATTTCAAAGTGAGAATGGTTCCCGATAGACGTTCGCAACGAGAAATCCGATACGCTGAATTTAATACATATTACGTGCTGCAAAAATAGTAACATCGATACTAGTTTTTCGTTGCGATATAGTTTGCTATCGACGTTTGCTTTCTATACTCAAATATTAACACATGAGCGATGAACCAGCTTTCGCTGACCCGACGAACGATTTGGAGTATAAATTTAACTTTGCAATCTATTTTATTCTCCCTGATCGTACTGCTTCAAATAACCTAACGAAATTTTATTGCTGAGTTATATTTTTAAATTTAGAAATTTGTAAAGCGAAGTGCACTTTGCTGGCAAATTAAAAAATCCACGAAAATTAAAAAAAGATAGCATACCCCGAGATAATAAAAGGTATCAGTAATAAAATATTGTGCATGTATCACTAATAAAAGGAAAAATTTTCGCAACCGAATAATCACAATACGTGGCCGCCGCAGTACAAATATCGGTACATCAATGAAGCTCGTTTGCCCAGAAACATGACATATTTCCAAAATTCCCGATAAAAATGAAAAATGAAATAAGAGCGCAACATTGTGGTGAATTTTGTCAGAACAATGAAATGTACGAATTATCGGGTGAAACAAACGCAGCGGCAGATAATTGATAACCGGTTGATAAGTTAAATCGGTAACAGCGTTAAAAGTTAAACAGCCGAAAACGCGAGGGGTAACTCACCTTTTTCCACGGATCGCACGCGATTCAGGTAACGTTCATGATCGTCGAATTACACCGTTACGAGTGCGGAATGAATCATGACCGGCTAGGAATACTGCGATACCGGTACTGAGAAGTTTGCGGATAACAGCGGGGAACAGGAGGGGTTGAAGGAAGCCATCGACCAGGAGCGGCAGACGAACGGGCGCCGTGGCCACCCCTGTACACCCCCGAGCCCTCGCGATCCCCCTTTTATTCAGCGCAGCTTATCCAAAACTGGAACAACCCTCTTGCTCCGAGCCTCGAGAGCACGAAACGTATGAGAGCTGGACACGAGATATTCGTCCCACCTTCCTGGCCATTCATAAAACAACCTTAAACGCGGCTTTTAAACGTTAAATACGTTATGATTTATACATCCTCGCCTTCAGCGGAACGCTTCGTTAACAACCGTGAGAAATGTTTTAATATGGCATTAATTGTAGTGTCTTTGAATACGGGGAGAATATGGTCCGAGCTGTTAGATGCAGGTTTTAAATGAAGGTCTTTGGAAATTTTAGGAGGTCGATGGGGGAAGTTTGGATTTGGAAAGTTTGGGTTATGGGAATTTTGAAGTTTGAGAGCTGGAGGATATGTGGATTTGGGGATACAGAGATGTGGGGG